TGATTTTTACAGCCATCACGTTGGTATTTTGGAACACAGTATTTATGGAAAGTATTTATGCCTACAGCACATTCTGATTTATGGCACAGAAGTCAAGAAAATGCCTTCCAGACCCCTTTTAAATTAGTATCCCTCACGTTCTGAATATTCCACAACTTCCCAATAAAACAATATCTTTTTCTGAGCAGCCTCTTGCCAGGACCTCCCCCCCCCCCCCCCTTTTTTTTTTTATTAAATGCTTTATCCTTTCTGTGGGCAAATCTGCAATGCACATGTGAGTTTGGTGTATCTGAACAGTAGATACAGATTGGCAAAGGCCATTCCCAATAAAAACATCTTTCTGGCATTCACATAAAGCAAGCTGCAAGTTTGGGGAGCAGAAGGACTGTTCTGTGCTTGTGAGTTGTACATACCAGATATTTTCATACTTTCAAATAACACAGCAGGACCAGAAGGCTGTTAGGTGTGGCTATGGAAAAAAAAGCTCTATCTGTAGATAGAACAGAACTTCTTTCCTATCAATATTTGCTATTAATCCAGGTATAACTAAACTGCATAAAGTGTATTTTCCAGACCATATTAGTCAGCTTTTTATTTAGTTTCTGCCCAGTTGAACAGAAGTAAAAGGTTAGCTAAGAATGTTATGGATAAGCAGTACAATGAAGCACATGGGAACCTTTTTATTGTCAATTACTTTAAAGATATTTAGGTTTTCTGCTATATTCACTGTAGCTGCTTTTTGCTATATTTTACTCAAATATGGTGTTTGTTCTCCCAACTCCTCTTTTCTGTCTGACTTATTTTCTGTGAAACTGAAAAAGTGCTTTTTCTCCTGGCAAAGCACTTCTTTCTTTCAGTTAAAAATGATCCTGCATCACTTAAGTAGTCCCTTGGAGAGGTTTTGGGAATGTAAGAAGCATGGACTCAAGTACTTTGTGTCTGCTACGTACTGGTTATGCAAAGCATGGTGAAGCTTAGTAGAAAGAGATTCTTTGTGGTCACCAGCCACCCTTTTGAGGTGGTAGCCAGATATGAAGCTATGCTGCTGTAAAGTTTATGTCATAATTTCAGTGAAGGCAGGAGTCACTTTTGAGGATGGGAAGGGTTTTTCTTCTCTGGCATATGACAGGACTCTCAATGCTATTCATCTTTCTCTAAAGTACAATATCTAGGCTGTTAGTTTGTTTCATGCAAATGGATTCCTGCAAATACAGGGCTGCTTCAAGGCGTGTGGCTTCTGCTGAATACATCTGCAGTGATGCGGAGGATAGGTGGAAGCCCCCAGGTGCCCAGACTTCCAGCAGTTTCCTCCCTTGGGACTGGTATTTCACTCTGGGTTTTGAGTAACAGGCATGCAGGGATTACTCTCAATAAATGATTATTTAAACCAGCTTCTGAAATTGACTTTTGTGTAATTTTCATATATCCTGTAGCTCTTCCAGGTATTTGAACAGCAAACCCTTTTTAAAAACATTTACCGAGAGTAAATAATGGAGTTGCTATCTATAGCTCACTAAAGGTCCAACATTTCACTTGCTAACTACAATAATCACAGATCGCAGTTGTTCTCTGAGCCATTAGAAAGGTATAATCTGCATGTGCAATGCTTTTTAGCAGCAGAATTTCAATGTGAGTTGGAAGCTAAAAGGCAGATGAATTCTGATTGAAAAGAGCAATTAGAGGGCAGCCTGTGGTCACAGCGTCATGGTTGGTACAAAGAAGAGATTTGAAGCCTGTGGCCTTATTCCTTCCTGTGCTGAAAGCGCTGTGGTCAGCACCTGCAGCTTTAGCCCCATGTGTCATTTAAAGCTTTACATGAGCTGGTTTTGCACATGTTTCCCAAACTGACTGTTTTCTGTAATACACTGCAAACATTTCTCTGGCTAAAACAACTTATGATTACTACATGTCAGGGCTTTTATTGCATAATCTTGGCATCAGCTGCAAACAGCAACAGTGTGCTCCCAAAATGTATCTTACACAGAAACCCACCAAATCGATGGAAGAGGCAATTGCAGCAAAACATCTGTGATGACATATTCAGCCCATTATTTTGTCAACAGTGTAAGAATTTGATGGCATAATAAAAGGATACACTTTGCTTAGCAAAAACATTTAGGGGATAACAGCCCAGTTAAATAGGGTGTGATTGAAGGTTTGCTTAGCCCATGGGATTGCACTTCCAGGGAAATAAAAATAGAGCCATTGTGATTCCTCCTTCCAAGTTATGTTTGTTTGGAGGGTAAAAAAATCACTTTAAGAAAAGGGAGAGCATTTTTTAAATAGATGTTTCAGACTGAAAAAAAAAGAAAGTTTGGTAAATTAATTATAATACCAACAGAATGCTGAAGTGCAAAGGGGAAAAGCAAACCCACCTGGGAGAAGAGATAACGGGAGTTAATCATGTGCAAGCTGCTCTGAGGAAAAAAGTGCACAATCCAGCTTAAAGCCTCATTTAAATTATTCCTGTGCACTAATTTTCTGCTTCATTTTCTTGACATAATTGATGCAGTCCTTGGAAGTACACTGCAATGAGCTTATTTCCTTCTGGTAGATGTTGTTTCAAGTAAATAGCAAAGAAGTGATAGTTTATTACAGCATATTTTTGACATGAAAGTTGACTTATATGTGTTTTGTGTTTTTTTTCTTTTGTGCTGTTTCCTCTCTGCAAGCAAATACTGAATTGTAAACTCAAGTCAGTATTGTAGTGTCTATGGCATGTGAATGCACTGGTAAGCTTGGCATTCCAGTGGTATTTGAGAGTGTCCAGAAGGAAAAGTTTTCAGAGACATGTAGCACAGATGGCCAAAAGTATCTATAGAAGCTACAACCATACAAATTGTTTCTGAAATATGTACAGGAGACCATAGAGGGAAATAAATGTTGCTGGGTAGGAACACCAGGAGTGTCCTACTTTCCAGAAAAGACAGTCTAAAATTGATACAAAAATTGAGGGTTTTGACTGTCCATCAAAGTACAATTGTTATTGTGATTTCTGAGCAACTTTCCTCCTTGTAATAACCCTGCACACAGCATGAACACTTTCTAACTTCTATGGCAAGGCTTAGGAACAAAACTAAACCTTTTTCAGAGCAGAATAAATATTGAACTGGGTTTATCTAGGGACTCCGGTGCATGTCATATTTAGCTAATTCCAATTCCAGTTTTACAAATTACTTATTATTTACTGTGGTGTTGTGGGTGCTGTAATAAATAACAAGTGACTTGACAAAGATGACAGAGAATGAAACAGTCTGCAATTAAAAATCCAGAGTTCCTAAGCTAGAGAACAAATGTAACTGACAGGAACTCTATTAGATTTTGGGAAAATTCTGTTATTTTTATTAAACCTCCTCTATTTCATGGTTTCTAACAAGTTCAGCTGTCCCATAAAATGGAGAATAATACTCTGCTAGAGGGCGAAGCTGTTCCATTGACAGATGCCGTAGCTAAAGTCACAGTTCAGTTTTCCTGCAGGTAGACAACCCAAAGATTATGCCTCTCCCAGTGCAAAATAGAAAGAAAGAAACAGCATTAGATAAACCTTGTTTCCTGGCAGATTGTTCCATAAATTTCTCAGTTGGAAGTTCTGAGTATAACACAAAGGAAATCACTAAGCAGGTGCCTGATTCACAGTAGCATAAAAGAGTGCAGAATGGCTGTTGTAGATGTTTTTGTCTTTTCCCTTCTCCTTTCCCCACATTGTATGTTATTCTTCAAGAATATAGGAGAAATTATGGAAGATGATTCATCAAATTCCTGTAGATTCAGGTTTAAAAGCAGTCTAACAAAATGGCACCCTTATTGGTGCTGTGCATGCCTTTCCTCAGGGCTGCTTCAAAGTGACACAGTTCTTTCCAATAAAGAGCCTGAAAATGATTAAATTGAGTTTGTAATGAATTTCTTTTTATCTCTCAGAGTTTCACATCTGGTTAATGCAGTCCTCAATTCAGCTTGGAATGGACTTGCTTGTTCTGGACTTTGTGAACCTTGAAGCTGAAGGTAAACCTCCTGTCACTGGGCACCTGTGGATTCTCTATCTGTGCCCTAGTGTTGTCTGTTGCTATTCATAGTCTTTTCTGGTTTTATTTTCAGTCATGTGATGCAATGATCTAAGTTCAGTACAGAAGAGTCTGTTGGGCTGCCAAAGCCCAAAGACAACCTACAGCAATTCTGAGTCGTGGAAGACACATAGCAACCTTTGGGATTATTGCTTAGCAACTGCAAACACAGAGGAGTAAAACTCACAGCCCGGCTCCACAGCAGGTCTGAGAAATCCCTAATTCACTTCAAGATTTTTAAGGTTGTGAACAGATGGGCATATATTAAATTCCAGTTCATTTGCAAAGCCACTTTGAAAGCAGGAAGAATAAGATTTAGTTTGATACCTGCTCCAAAGGTAAGAAAAACAGTTCTTCAAAGCTTCATGAAGCAAAAGAGAACGTCTTTTTATATTGTAATTGTATTGAAAAGGAAATCATGTATAAAAGGGTATTGGGCTCTTTGTGCTTGGTGAGATAAACATGCTCTGTGAAGCACATTAAGGAAAGGTAAAACTATTTCTGAGCGATAGAGCATCAAAGAGATTATACTCTGGTTTTGAAAGTACTTTTGTAACTCAAACATCTCTAAAATATTTACCTAGACAAACTTTAGTCTTTCCTGGCCCTATCCCACCCAACAAAATCCCCTAACAGAATAACAATGAAACCGTAAGAACCTTATTTATGAGCAGATTTGGGGTTTGTACAGAAAAGGGAGAGATAATCTTTTTCTACCTGCAGGGATTCCAGCAAGAATATTTCTCTCACAGAAAAGGAGCCAGGGAAGTGGCATCCTACTAAATAATGAAAAGCTTATCTTGCCTTCAGCTTGAGCAAAGGCTTACAGGAAACTTTATATCACATTTCAAATTTCCTAGGTGTTTCTATAGCTTGCATCTGTGCACCATCCTTATTGTTACTTGAACAATCAGGCCTCTACTTGGGCATGTCACAAGCCAAATTCTCAACTAATGTTAATCAGCACTGAAGTTTATGAGCTGGTGTTTTACACAAACTGGAGGTGTGTTCCTGTAATCCTCAACAAATTCCAAGTTTCAGGGCCTGATGCTAGCACTCCTTTGTTGTTAACAGGTATGTGCTGTTTGTATGTTCTTCCATACCTTCGTTATCTGTCCTGCATTAAAGGCGTGGGCATAGTTCTCTGTGCTCTGCTTCCATTCTTGGCATAAGGTGAATGCCATGGAATTGAGATAGAACAGTCACCCTGAGTTGTTTTTTGTTTTATTTTGTTCAGAGACATAGAGATACTTTATAAATATTTGGTAATCCTCAAAATCATCCTAACAAATGTAGAAAATCTATTCATCATTCTTTGGAATTGGGCACCTCATAAAGCAGAGTGCAGTTGTCACTTCAACACTGCACAGAGACTGCAGAGCGGTTTCATAAAGGATGTTGAAAAATAACGTAAGTATTTGAAACTGCTAGAAGGTTTATTTTGGCACAACAAAACCAGTTGATTTGGAATATGACCAGGACATTTGGTTAACACCCTGCTTTAAACCAGAAAGAGTCTGATTTTACAACTGATTGAGGGAAACTCACCTAAGCAAGGAACTATTTGCCTGGGTTGACTGGTTTCCTTTTCTACCATTGTAAATCTGGACTCCTTTACAGCTCATGTCCTCTGGTGGCAAGACCAGCTCTCATCTTAAAACCCTCTGTGTGGGTCAGGCAGGCAGCTTGATCCATAAATCCATCTCCCTCCCTAACAGGTAATCATCTTTGAAAACAAATTACCAGCAGACGCCAATAAGTGCATCAAGAAAGCAGACACAGAAATTTAGTGCTGTGAAGCATCCTACCTGTTCAAGCAGCATTTGGACTCAAACAGTGGTTATGAGCTAGAAGGTGAACATATTAGTAATTACATTCGTGCGTCAAGAGGGTTGTAGATCACATGTATGCATTTCCTGGAAGGCTGAACTCTCTTCAGAACAGCTACAAATGCTTAAACATGAAGAGCAAAACGTATCAAAAGCAACAGTACTGCTACGGATACTGAAAGGCCTTGGTGAAAAGCCCTTTTAAATAAGAGCTTGAAAAGTTCAGAGTGGAATTTCATCTTTAATTTGGAAAGGCATTAGGCTCTCTCTGTTAGTATCACCCTTGCCTTGCTGTTGTTTAACACTGACCTGGGGTTTTTGCAGCATGCTGGTGTTTTTGCGTGCTCAAGTAGTTGGGCAACATTCTGCTCCATTCCGTATTCATAAATCCCATTACAGATGCAGACAGTGATGTGTGGAGACCCACCAATAGTTTTCAGATTGTGCCTTGTGAGCAACACGGTTTCTTCCTGATATTTCACAGAATGAACATTTTGAGAAGAAAACAGTGGAGTTTGGGACACTGTAAAGGAGATATCTGCAACTTTGTGTAGGTCTGTCTCTTACAGAATAATCTACAAGATTAAGTGCTTGTGAACAGCTTAATTACAGAGTTGATGATATAGAGTTTCCCTTTCTGTGGGAGCTCTTCTGACCCATACACCTGTGTCCTCATTACCTGAACAAAATGTCCAGAGGGAAAAATAGTTGTCAAAGTTGAAATGAAGTAATCTGTGGGACAGGCTTCCTCACTGTTTTTTCACAGCAACAGAAAAGATGAAACAGAAGATGTGGAGAAATCTTGTTCCCAGGTATCTGGTATCTTCCATTACTTGCTTCCTTTGTCTCACACCCATTGGATTTCCTGGAGGCATGGAATGGAACCTAAACAGAAATAATGACACTAAGGGTAAGAGGAATTTACTAGTTGGAACTGGGGGACAAGATTTCTGAGTACTGTTCACCACTGGGTTTCTGAGTTTTTAAGTGACCTGGAATTAATCACTTCTGTGTCTCAGTTTCTTCTCCTCCAAGAAAGGAACACACTTATTTGGTTTCTCTGTCTCCAAGGGCCATTGTGATACATAATTAATCTTTATAAATCATTTAATGATCTTTGAAGTGAAGGGGCTGTATTTATTTAAGAGTACAAAGCAGCAGTAACAGAATGAAAAAGGAATGTAGAAAAAGAATATTACTCAATTCCTAACAATAGAGTCATCTTTTAGGACACTGTTGCATCTTTTGGCATTGTATAACCTGCTGCTTCTGTTCTGTGTCACAGCTATTGAAGGATGGCTGTTCAGCCAGCAGCAGCCCAAACTGCAGGTCTGCAACATCCCAAGCCTGGAGGTGAGAATATGACTGCCGCAGAAATGAAGAGAAAACAGGGGAATGATGAGCTGCCATGTCTTAATATTTATGCTCTGTGGAAAGAGTGCCTTTATAAAAAGGTACAGCAGAGGTGTCTGAGTCTGCAGGACACAAAAGTGAAGATGGTTCGTGAGCAAAAGGTAAAAGAAGAAAAGGTAAATAAGAGAGAACCCTGTGACTTGCTGTCCAGAGAGTGGTTCAATAATGAGAAGGTGTCACTAGACACTCGTATCTATCTGCTTGAAAAACTCCTACCTACATTAATCCCAGGAATTGAAAAACTGTTAATGGAAGTGGAAAGAAAGAACGTGCTTGCAGCGGAAGAGCCAACCCAGTTCAATCCCTTTATCTTCCTTGGTGAATATCTGATGAGACATAACCCCCGGTATGGCATTCCTGCAAAACCAGGCCCATACCTGAGAGGATTGAAGGTGGTCACAGAGGAGCTAAAATCTGAGATGGCTGGTACAGCATCGGAGAGGTGAGAGAGCTGAAAGTGTGGCTAGTCACACAAGCAGAGCTGGTGTCTTGCAGTGGTGTGGCTGCAGCCTGGCTGATACTGTAGAACAAAATGAACTTTGTGGAGTCCGGTGCCAGCAATGGCAGTTGTCTCTCACAAAAATCTGAGAAGCAGCACAAATGCCAGAACATTTCACACAAAAAGAGACACCAGTTATTCCTGTTTAAAGCAATTTTCTGCCCTTCACAAGTATGCAATTCCTCTTTAGACACTATCTTAATTATATGTGTGGAATGCAAACTGCTTTCAAGCTGGTCTAGGTTAGTGACAGCAATTCTTTAGAGCAGGTGCTAGTATCGAAGGTCCATGGACTCTTCAGATCAGTTCTTTTATATTCTTCCAAACTTAATACAAAGAGAACCTTTTTTTCCTCCTTCAGGATGATTTCACCAAACCAACAACAATATTGTCCTGGTACATTGTAGAAGCTCCTTCTCCTGGGATTTTTACTTAGGCTTTCCTTCCAGATTCTTTTTTGTATTTTATTATGTTGCTTATTCCTGGGGTGTATTTAATCTGCTGCTTTACTCAGATATGTAATTAATATTGGAAGGGGGTTCCATGGCATCTTATAGTATGCTATGGTTAGAATAGGAGTGCATTAGCTGAAGAATAATGGTTACATTGTCATTGCTTTATTGAGACAAATGCAGAATTGAACATTTGTGTTTGCAGATGATCCAGAGGTGATGGTGAATGATGGCAAAATTACTCATGCGCTACCAGATCATTTTATTCTGTATTTGGGTTTGTAGAATACTGACTTCTATTTGAACGGCTGTCTCCTATTTGCATAAATAGTACATAGAGCTTGAAAATTGGTTTCAAGCTTTCAGTGTCAGGAATTAGGGAAGTCAAATGTTGACGTGTCTTATACATAAACTCTAAATGAAGATAACTGAAGTTTCAGTATGAAAATGAATAAAAGACCATATTAAATCTCTCTCTACTGCTCTGAGCTTCTGTCTCTCAGCATTTCTAGTCCACATACTGTTACAGTTCATAGGAACATGCCTTGTGTGGATACAGCCAAAGCAGTGTCATGAGTGAATTGTATACAGTCCCCTCCTTTTCCCCCATGGGTAGAAATAATTGTGAATGACTGATTGTGGTCAGCATGTAAGAGCTCAGCTTTTTGTTTTTTTCTTCTTAAGCAGACATAGAGGAGAACAACCAAAGCTGGGAAAAGATTTTCAGTTATATTTTCTATTTTTAAATGCTGGTCCACTGAAACAAATGATCTGGGGAAATACCTGCTTTTTCAGTGAGCTTTACTCAACCACACACTGTTCTGGGGGATTTTGATGATGCCAGCCTTGCCAACACCTTTTCTGGATGCCGGAACCTCAGAACCATGTCTCACTTTCATTTTGCAAAAGAAGTTGAATTAAAATACAGAACATTTCCTGACATTTTGGGTTGCTTTTTGGTTTGGTTTTGGGAGTGTTCTTAGTTTTGTGGTTTGGTTTGGGTTTTTTACTGCTAAAATATTCTTGGCTTTCATTGTGAATCAGAGCATATTTCTGGAATGCTCAGGTTTTCCTGTAGAATGCAAAGTGTTGGCTACTGGTGACATGTTGTCTTGGTCTTGGCTGTTAAATCCATGTTTACACTTGGAGACAGGTTCTCAATTTGTAGCTATCAAAGCTGATGCAAAGGAAGTGACTATCAAGACTTGTAGAAATAAATCTCTCCATAGACAGCGCTGCCACAGGGGGTTATGTAGCCATAGCAGGTTTTGCGTATCAGCTGGTAGTAGTGTCATGGGATTTGCATTCACAGCAGCTCAGGATTTACATATTTGTGATGGCTGTATTGTGGGATTTGCATCAGATTCTTAAACCCCATCAGCACAGAGGATTTTACTGACAGGAGATGCTGGTCTGTGCTCAGAATCGCTCACATAAGCAGCAGGAAGATGAAGGGTAAAATTCTGGTCCCAATGCAGCTCCTGGGAGCCTTGACATGACCTTCAGGAAAGGCAGGATCTCACCACAGGTTTCTGTCTAAATTTCAGTGAGTTCTCTCAGGCTTCCTCCACTCTCTCCTTAACTGCCACCAGACAGGAGAGCAGATGGGAGAAATTCCATATCCAAATGGACTGGTACCTGAATTAGAGACTTTATTTGTCCAGGGATGGTAGTCCTTCAGTCTGAGTCACCATCCCTGTGTGGGAGTTAGGCGGCTGTCTTCCTGAAGAAACATGTTTCATTCTGCAGGGAGAAGTCACCCTCGCTGCCATCTCATCCTTCTGGAAATGTCTAATCCTGGAATGAGCTCACATTGAAATGGGTGCCCAGCATTGATCTGCTGTGATTGTCTAGGGGGGGAACATCTTGTCCCATACCAGGGACACCAGGCAGAGAAGGCAGCAATTTGGTGTTTTAGGACCCTAGAAGTAAAGGCAAAACTGCAGCCCAGTGCGGGTGCAGCACACAAGGAAAGGTGCGCTGGGTACTGCCCAAATTAATCACCAAAGCACGGTGGCAACTCCCAGCACAGCCTTAGCTCTGCCTTCAGTTTGCAGACCACTCCTGAGGAGGAGCTGCAATGGTCCAGAAATGGTCTGGTTTTCTCTTTCTGTTTGTAGCATACATTGGAGAAAAATGTGTTAGTGTGGTTAGTGTGGTACCTGCTACATACCTCCTCTTTGCTGTGTCCATGAAGGAGTCAGGAGATAGGAAATTGTTTTCCCCTTCCCCTGCTATCAAAGTGCCAGAGGCTGCATTGCCTCAATCAGGACTTGTGCAATGCCCACAACTGGTGAAGGAACCCAGTTATTCATTAAGAAATCTCTGTGATAAGTAGCAACAAAGAACAAGTACGAAGTGATAAAACTGTGATCCGAGTGTGCTGCTGTAAAAAGTCAAACAGGCCTTTCTAAATATAGCAGTGGTTTATCATTTCTAGGATGACCTGTAGCAACAGAAGAGATCAGACAGGATCAGCCCATCTTCACAGTATGTGAAACACAGGGGAAGAAGGGAGCAGAAATCATTAGTTAAAATATAGTTTCTGTGCTCGTGTGTTCTCAGGTACAATAGAGGAGCAACTCCCCTTATCTGAGTATTACAGAGGGTGTAAGTGCCACAGAGGTGAGCAGTGCAGCTGCTGAATGCAGAGAGGTTCCAGCAGTCTCCATGACCTGGAACTCTTCTCTCCATATGAACTAATCCTTTGGCTTTAAGCATATTGACCTTCCTGAAGGCTTTTTTTTTTTTTCATTTCATAAATGAACACAGTCAAAACCAAAGCAGATCAGTTCTACAGGATCAATTGATTCAGTTCTTCTGTTGTGCAAAATGGAGGATTGGGAAAAACATGGCTAGGTGATGAGAGAAGCAAAGAAAAGGGAAGGAAGAAGAAAGGGAGGCATTTTTAGTCCAAGCTTGCAAACAGTATGTTCAAAATGACAGAGAGGTTGGGGTATTATCCCTGTCCTAAGGCAGAAAGGACTTTATTGTGGGAGACTGCTTAAGAAATTTCATTGAACATTGTTCTTTGCCAGTGAAGTGCTTATGTGAAATTGTGCTTAGGCTTTGAGACAAATGCAGACTGATGCAATTCTGTTGGTAAATCAAGCGTAGCAAGATTAGGCACCTCTCTTCCTGCTAAAATTAGAAGGTGAAGGACATCTACACAATAAATGATTAATGCCATTATAAGTGTGAAGGTAAAAATTATTGCTGTTGAAACTACACAAACTAGGGTTGCTGTACAGATGATTTTCCTTTAAATGTCTACCATATGCTCTACAAGAAGCTCTCTCCACACACACATCTGACGCAGGTTATTTCTTCAGATTCATAGTACACTTGATTTCAGGAGATGATACTTGTCAATATAAATACTCTCACCTCCTTGGAGATTCCCTCTGAAAACACAGGTTACTATTATCTAGTCCAGTAGTTACACTAGTAATTTTGTGCCTCAAACGTCAAATATGTCTTTGGACAAAAAACCTGCTTGTATTAGAAGGACAAGTATTTCAGTCAGAAGTTATTTCCTTTCCTTTTGTTCTTCAGGGTAGGCTTAATCTAGCTTAAATATGATTATGATGGTATCTTTCTAAACCATATTCCCGTGTCCTACAGGCTGGCCAGGATGAAGGCTGAGGCAAAGGTCAAACGTAAGGAGAGGGAGGAATTAGAAAATATGAAGTCTCAGGTGAAACTGATGAGAAAGGAGGCACTGGCAATTCAGTTCGAAGAGTGGACAGTGGACGTCAGTGGCAGAATACCAATTGCACTGGTAACTAGGAAAGATTCTTGTTAACATAGTGCTATGATTGTTCCAGGAGGAAAAGGAAGACTGTGATAGTGGCATCTGCCCTGGCATGGCAGCATGGAGCATAAGGATAGGCAATGGCTCTGCCATCCCTTAAGGTCAGGATGCAGGTTGTTGTCTACCTCTTAGCCCCACCGAGCCCTGATTCCCTATGAACACGTGGGAGAATTGCAGTGCGTTCTCCACACAGTTCCTGGGAAGCTAAATACCCCCTAAGGTACTTAGGCAGTCCTGAGGCTGGGGATACATACCTCATCACTGGATGTCCTTCTGGTTATCCCTCAGAATCCCCTTAAAAAGGTCCAGGGCAGCCACTCTTGCTCTCCTGTGGCCTCCATTAAATTTTCTTCCTATTCCTGTGGCTCATACAAATTGATACTGCAGCTCAGAAGAGATGAAATGTGCAGTAATTGTAATAATCTCTTGGTACAAGCATTTTTCTTACAAGTGACAGAAGCCCTCTAGGAAATGGTCCTGTGGTTACACACAGCACAACACAGACAAGGTCTACCTTAACATTTACCCACCTATAAGTGGTAAGAAGCATGGCTGGCCCATACACTGGTTACTCTGGGTGATTTCCTTTAGTAATTACCTATTGTTGTCTGCATGAAACAGGCCTTTGACTATCCCCTTGATTTGTAGGTTCAGAGTGCCCTGAGGACTTTTGCAGATGTCATTGCTTCTACAGCCACAGATGTGAGAAAAAGTAAGTTTTTGATGTGTCTCCTTTAGTTCTGTTTCTGTGGTCTGAATTCTGATGCAAACTGTGAGCAAACAGCCAATGGATTTGATAACAGAGAAAGGATCTCTAAGGGTAGTTAGGATATGAACCACAGATTTTGAGACAGATTGGAAAGAGACTGAATCACCGGGTGGTTCATTAACAGGATCTTGAAAAGCATGGAAAGAAGTTGGAAAAAAATCTTTCAGAGAGATAAAAAGATCCACTCACATCCTTCATTAGCCAGACATTGCCACGTGCTTATCACTGTTTTTAAGAACCACTTCAACAAACTCCTCCTCCACCTGCCCTATCAGTGTTTCTCATGGGAGGTCTTGGAAATCCCATGGACAGCTTAGCATACAGGGAGGTATGGAAGAAAGGTAGGATCATGAAAATTACAGTCTGACAGTGGTGTTGCCTTTCATGGTTTCAGGGTTGATGCTGAAGCTTGCCTAATGCTCTGCTGAACAGCCCATTCTTGTCTGGCTCTTCCCTTTGCCAGTCCCAGGCATGCCAGTGACACCCAGCACAAGGGCCTCTGTACCAGAGCACTCAGCACAGAAAGATTTCCATAATTCCTGTCCAATTTAAATAGCTTACACTTGACCTCCCTGAATAATGATAATTGAATAGCTAGAGCCAGGAACATCAGAGTGGCAGCACACAGCCTGCTGCCAGCCCTTTATATTAAGAGTCTGTAATGATCATCAATAATAACAAATCTGCCTTTGCTGGAAGATGGGATGTGCATTCCTGCTTGCTGCTGGAGTCACCCCGCTCTAGAGCTTGACCTTGCTCAGCCCCTTCTACATCATAGAATTGTGTCAATCATCCTATTTGTAGTATGGTGTATAAATGCCAGACCCAGCCTGTGTGCTCCTACTGTGGTATTCGTGGATCCTGTGTGGACAGATACTGGGATGAGAGATTGAGAAGGAAGTTTCTATCCAGCCACTTGCCCTCCAGATGCTTAAAGTGGTTTATGTCCTATTTCACTAAAAATGTGGCTCCATTTCTTAATTTAGTTCATTTAATATCATCCAATAAGCATTAGCAGAACATCAAGCTTTGTTTTATAGTTTAATAAAGATAATGTACAGCTCGGAAATGTCTTAACCAACAAGGGATAAATGCATTCTATGGCGAATTTTCTCATTTCTCCTGTTATATTGTAGAAGAAAGAGCGCACAAATAATCCCAACAGAAATAGCATGTCTGTGCTCAAAGCCCTCATTCAGAAAACTATGCAGGCATTTGAGCTGTCTTCTCAGTTCCATTATAACAGGCCAGATAATTTTGAATATCATCATCAGTAAAAAATAATCCTATAGAACATCTTGGGAAAATGACTGTGATTTTCAGATTCCGCTTTTGCAAAGCAGAACCCATGCCCCCAGTATTTTAAGGCAGTTTTATGTTTGTTAAAGCAAAAATCATTTCTCCCCTCACATATGTAGTTGTAAGTACTATTAAAATCATTGCAGGTTGCACCAGCATATGTCAAGAACAAATACAACCATACAGTTCTGAATAGGTAAGTGCAGACTCTCTGCAAGAGAAATGTGTAGGAATTAGAATTAGGTAGACTCCAGACAGTCAGATGCTTCAGCTGCTCTGTAGGATAACCTGAAATAAATGTAATCCAGTATGAGAAGAAAGTTAATCTAACACTGAAGCAAAACAATGTGTACAATATGTAACCCCACAACTGTTTGCTTTCTAAACCAATATCCCTTCATTTTTTACTGGCAGTCTGTGACAGGAAGCTGGAAATCGTAGACACTTTGGAGAAAAAAGTAAACATAGATGAATTCACAGAGGTGAGAAATGAAATAAGAGCATCTGATGCAGAATATGGTGTTTGTCACAAAGTAGTAGCATTTCTCTGGGGACAGCTGAGATGAATAAGTGAAGGGCTTCACTTCTTCAGCATCCCAGGTAACTGGTTATATGGGGACATTTCATGTTCCATCTTTGTATCCATCCTTTGCTGTCCCAACACTTCCATTCTGGCCAGCAAGGAGGGTGTAGTTTGCTTTCTCAGAGCCTGTGCCAAGCAGTAGTTTTTAGGACAGCCCTCTCAGTCGCTTCCTAGAATGCCAAAGCCCTGAATCACTTGTGAATGCAGATGTTGCAGTAGCTGCTCAAGACAGGTTTGGTGTCCCAGTATATCCATCAGCCTGAGATAATCAGTAATGTCCTCAAACTATTGTTATTTCTGATCAAGTTCTATTAGCCATAGAAAAGCCTAACAAGTGATGAGAAGCTCATTTTTGCTCAGAACTGTTACTGACTTGGACCATAACCAAACTGCAGCAAGAGTCATAGCTGTTCATAAAGCACAACCAGGGTAGAAAATACAGAGCTTTAAAATCAAACTCTGTCATTGAGAAACATCAGGAGTGTGTTTTTAACCCATCCACATCAATAAGTGTAGTTGGAAGGTTCACCCCATCACTCTACTCTTCATCAATCTGAAAACAACTGAACTAGTTCAAACTACACTTACTGAAAAACTCTCCAGGCCAATCCTTTGCCAACCATTTCTACCTACAACAGAGCTGAATTTTATGGCTGGGTACTTAAACCTGCAAAAAGGGATGTTTAGAATAGAAATAATGGCAGACCCTCAAGTTGCAGCAGTGCTGGTGGGTGCTGTTACAATAATTAAAACCAGAGTATAAAGCAGCTGTGCAGAGACTAATTTCAAGCAACCATGTGTGATTTTTGTGCCTTCCTTGCTCTCAGGAGACCCCCATGTTCGTTATTTTGCACAGAGATGCATTTTCATGGTAACTTGTTGAAGGCTTTTTTAAACATGAAATGAGGTATTTTTAAATTTAACCTCAGAATAACTGCATTTAATTAAGAAAACTATTGTGGCTAATGGGAGCCCAGAGAATTGCTTTTGTCACTGAAATGAAGCATCAATACATAATCCCTATGGCATATGTATAAGCACTGAGTGAATTTATGCTCCATTAGCATTAGAAAAATGTTTTAAAATTTATTTTGTGTACTCTTTATTTTAACTCAATTAAAGATATGACAACAGAGATCAGGAATACAAAAGACACAGACTGTCAAGCTGTCTCATTCACTAGCTAGTGCAACTTTGTTCTCAGAATATATTCTTTGATGCGTTTTGCAGTCCATTTTTAATTGAATCAAATGATGAAGCTTTCATCACTTCCCTTGGGGAGCTGTTCCATAATCACAGGCCTCACTTTCAGGCCAGGGCTGCTTCTAATCCTCAGCTGCACTTTACCTTTGTTCATCAGTTTGCATCATCCACCATAGACCAGCAAGAGAGATGATCTTTCTCGACACTGGTCTAGGCCCTTTCACATGTGGAAAGCATTGCTCTGTAATGGACCTTAAAATTAAATGGTGCTTTTTTTCCCTTCCTTGAATTCAGTGCAGCTTTGGGTTACTTAAAGGCTGTTAGAAACTCAGTAGAAAGACCTCACATGTTGTTGTTGGGTTTTGGGGATATTTTTTTGGACATGCAAAACAGTGGTTTTTGTCTTTTTACATCCTTCATGGCAAGCTCATGGAGTCTTTATATTAAAAGCATTTAAATCCCAGATACCAGTCCTTACCAGTTTATTTCACAGGCTTTGTACTCTAATATGCAGAACCTACAGCAGCCTGACACAAAGCTGTTGACCCTGAGGGAAATACTCCCACTGCCTTTGTAGGGTCAGAATCAAGTTTTAAAGGTGAGATTATTTTCCATGATCACATGTGACTCACTCCATTTCTGTTGAGATCAGGAGGAACAAAAAGCAAAGCTCCGTTCTTGATGATAATGTGTTCACAAACTCAGTGAGGTCTTACATGGGATAGCAAGAAGGAGGTGTGCCAGCTTTCTTCTGATGGGTGTCAAAATCTCTTGGTTAATAATAAATCAATGTATGCTTATAACATGTACAGTATTTTACACAGCAGAGTGCTTTATACACATCAGCTAAGAAAAGCTTAAGACTCTACGATAGTTCCTCCTGCCCACAGAGCCGAACATAGGCTTCTAAAAACTGTTCTGGGAAGCTGTTAGACAGAAGTATTAATACACAAGCCCTGGGATGTGTCATCAAGATGACATACAAAATAACAAGCTGCTTGTCCAAGCTGCCTCCTCCCAACTGCTGTCATCCTTAAGGGTTCATCTGTCACAGGGCTCTGGGTTGTAATAGCTCTGAAAAGCTGGGAGATACACGTGTTCCCAGATCTGCCACCTTCTCTCCAGCCCACGCACATCCTCTCTTTTTATGCTGAAATGCAGAAAAGCCACACATTGCATCAGGAATTCTTCTTTCCCACCAGCCACCCCTCAGGCCATTGGCTGCTGCTTTTCTGCTCTTCTTCTCTTCCCCACTTGTCCCATATGTTTGGGAATTATGCAATATAGACCTGAATAATAATAACATATATTAATATTTCAGTTGGTTAATGCATTTCAACAAGTCCAACAAGTCCTAGTATTTAAGGCAGGTATCCATGCTCTAAAAATGGGATAATGGGAAACATTCCATATTTTGGAAATTCCTTGTTTTAACTCCCTGTATGTCTCCCTCAACTGTGGCTGGCTCCAGAAACCTGCTCTAATAATTCAGCACAGGCTTTGGGATTGTGGTTTGGTCTGATGGCCATTATTATTTATGTCATGCACACCACATTTTTAGAACCATATTGCTTTTGCTCATAAAAACCACATGGCTATAAATCCAAAGTGTTAACCTGTCTCCAAGGCTAGAACTTAAAATAAATCTGGAGTCAGTAGTATCCCCAGTGTGAGAGGACTTAGGTGACAGCAGGCACATTTTCAAAAGGTTCTTTCCTTTATTTTATTGTATCCAGACTGGTTCTTTAAACATTGAAATTGTGGCCAATGGTCGTGTTGTGGCATTAGAGAGCTGAGTGACTGTCAGTTTGGCAAAAACTAATGGCTCAAAATGCGTCGTTAGGAGTAAAGTCAAGAATACTAAATGCTGCTGAAAACCATGGAGAACTTCTATCCTCCCTGAGATAACCTGGCTTAATCAATAGCATTTCATAGAGTGGAATTCTCATCCAGCATCTCTGAAGCACTGAACATGATAAGTGACCTCTGGGCAGCAGAGTCACAGGCTAGTTTGGAGAGTATTGCTGTTTCTGAAAGAAAGAACCAAGCGGGCTGTGTACCATCCATGTACCAAGCCTGCAGATTAAACTACAAACTCCTACATACATTATTGCACGCAATCAATTTTAAGGAGCTTAAATAAAGGTTAAAATACTTGAAGAAAGCTAACCATCACACTGCTGCTTTCTCTTCCCAGTATGTCCATTCCTACACTGAACATTTTCCAGATGCCGTGTTCCAAGAAATGCTGAAGCATCTCTGTCGGTGTGCTGATGACTTCAGAGAAGCAGTAAGACATGATATGTGGAGGCAAATGTTTACTTTTCTCTTCATAGATTGTGATTACGCAAAGGTAGGCAAAGCAGCTCTCAACCTAATTTCAATATGGTAATACTTCCAGTTTGGTATTTCTCTGGGTCACTGCTTTCTCTTTACTCCTCATGACTCTAGATACTCTCTTTGTGCTTACTCAGCATTATTTCAGAGGACAACAGCTGCTGCATTGTCTTCAAACTCATGGTTCTTAGGCACAGAAACAGCCAGCAGCCTATAAGCTGATGACTGATTAGAACCTGAATGACCTAACTGATGACTTAAGGCTGAAGTCTGATGATTTTGGAGAAGAAATTAACCATGGTCTTTACTTCTTCTGGTCATTACCTGTTCCCACAGAACACTGAGAATGTTTGGGTGCTAATTTTTCTGTTCAGCTGTATTGCAGCAAAGATAACCTGACAGAGACTGACCTTAACAAATGTGCACATTACTACAATAGTAACATATATTGTGTCAATTATGCTGCATTAATTTATACACCTTGAGGGCTTCTATCAATAAATCTCATAGTTTAAATTTAAAATGCAAAATAATCTGTCTTTACAACCTTTTGAACTTCTGCCACAGTTTATGGGCAGGGAGTTAAAATAGAGTAAGTCAGTTACAGAGCTGGAAATGGAACTCAGAAGCCATAATCTGTTTTTCAGATGCTCTAAACTCTATCATCCTCTGAATACATTTGCATTTCCATTTAAATAAATAAATAAGCTAGATGTATTAGAAAACAAGTAAATAGAGCTGAAGAATCAATGGCATGAGCTATTGCTAAAATCTTGGGCTTCATCCAAAAAGTATGGTATTTGTTACAAGTAGCCTTAGTTAGCCAGTTGCTGGCTACTACACAGCAAACAGTTGCCATAATCTTGCAGTTTTCTACAGGAATTATGTATTCCATGCAGCACTCCTCTAATGATGTTTACAGCATGCCTACCCAGAATGAACTCTGCTGTACAATGTCATGCTAATAATGTCATTACCTCTAAGAGGATGGAATTACAGAGAACATTTCAACACCAATGGTGTGTTTTGGAGAATAGCTGGCAAGTTTCTCTTTCAGAGATGAGGAAAGAAGTGTGTCTATTTCTCAGCTAGGAGACATTTCATTTTCCTATTGCTCCTATGGTGGATGCTCCCAGGTAGAGTAATACATAAAGCTGTGTCCTATCTTTGTCATGCATTTTGAAAGGATCCCTTCTTTTCCTTTCATGTTTTAATGTGATTTTCTTGCTATTATTTCCATGGCAGTAATCACCATCTCCATGCTACTAATCCCAGTGGAATCTCAGAGGCAAAGAGCCAAAAACACTAGGAAAACATAAGAGTGAGCAGCTATCAGCACAGACTCCATTGCTGCCCAGAAAAGAATGAACAGAGCACAAACATGGTTGCTGTTTTCAGTCTCTGAGGTAGCCTTGCTCTGCGAATTGAGTTCACCAAACTGTAGTGTGGACCACACAGTTCTTTTAAACCTGACCTGGTTTCTTTTGTATAGTTCTTAATAAGTCCTGCCCTACTGTACCCACAGGGAAGATAAAAGATGCAAACTAACCCTAGGACTTCTTCCACTTGAATGTGATCCATTACCTGTAATACTCATTCTGCAAAGCAGAGCAAAGCAGTTGTTTCAGTTCCTAATTTCCATTTGTTTGGTGGCAGGCAGTTATTCCAGTCTGCATGGTAACTGTGGCTGGCTGCCTCAATGAGCTGCAATTAGAGCCAGGGAGCTGAGAAAGCAGTGTTTAAATTGCAGTCAAATTAGAAGGTATGCACATGATCATTATTATGATTTCAAATGCATGCATCCAGAAGGATGGCAGGTCAGCAAGAACAGCCTGGACTATACAGTGAAGCAGAAACTTTCCAAGACAGTACCAGAACACAGCTGAATCACTGCTCTGATGCCCAAAAAGGCAATAGCTCTGGGAATTCTAAGCTTATTGTCCCTCTCTGCTCATGTGTATCAAGTATAGTTTTTTAAAACCATCTTTTAAATTAAAAGAATCTGCATTAATTTTGAAGGACTTTTTCAGCCCGAAGCCTTTAAATGTAACTGAATTTAGTCAGATTAGTTTTCAAACTAATGAAGTTTGAGACACTCAGGTCGCCTTTCTTGCAGTACAGCAATGACAGAGCCTGCTTTCTCATGACCTTTTCTGTCTGTTCTTCCCATCTTGCTCGCTAACAAGTGTCTTATGGTGCTCAAGATATACACGTCCCATTTCCAGGAAAACAATCAATCAGTTAAACACTGACCTATCACTGCTGAAATGGCAAGTCTGGTTCAGTGTGTTGCTTAAAGGAATTACTCATAGATCACAGCACATTGCTGAAAACAAATGAGAATCATCACCTGCCAATATCTAGGTGTCAAGAAAATTAAGTCAACACATTTCAACCCTAACCAGTAAAGCTGGCACTCATTAAAAGTGGAGACAAGTTTTGGGTGGCTGTGCAAACACAGATGGTCTGCTGTTATTTATAGTGGATGCCCTACCTGTCCTGCTGAGAAGACTCAATATGAAGGGCTGAAGGGCAGGAATCTTTCAGCAGCCTCCTCAGTCACTTGCATGGCACAAAGAAACCTGTGCTCTGTTAGTAAATTTAGGAACTCAGAAAGACAGAGCAAGTTCCTCCCAAGGTAAGTTGTAAGGAAAAGTATCCTAAAATAACAGACACCTCCAGTAGAATGGCAGATCTGTATAAATTGTACGTGTTAAAACAAGGTGGAAAAGGTACCCCTCATTCATAAGTGGTAATTTCTGAAAAGGAATTTACTGGTTTTAACAATACATAAAATTATTTCATCCAAGGCCCAAACTCTTCTAGAATCTGAGTTATCTGAACCCTCCAAGTGTATTATCTTAACATGACAAAAGAATCCCAAATCATCCTTTTTATTTTCTTTTTAATAATACTTCATTAATTGATTTACCTTTTTAATAAAGTTTTGCATTAGTGCTGCCAACTTCCAGGGAACCAGCAGCTAACTGTGAGAAGTAACAGCTGAGGAAATGTAAAGGGAAAATTAAGTGTGTGTAGTGGAAATACTGAATGGAGAATCCAGATTACACAGTGATCCAGTAACGTCTTCAAAACCATGTTTGTGTGTCTATTAAATGTATGCAGAACCCAAACGGATGTATTCAACTGAAAAACAAGCAGCATGAAGAAGTGTTTGCATGGAAATGTGCAAGGTATTTGTATATTAATGGCAAGAAGATGGAGACCCTGGGAATCAGGGCCTACACCTTGTACATTTAGGGACAGAATTATGTGATGACATTTGTTGTTCCAAACCCCCAGAGAGCTGAAATTCAACTGTAATTTCCAGCATTTTTTTACCAGGAGAAATGAAGTTACCAGAGTATGAAACACTGAAACTCCACCAGATGCTTACATTTCAGTTCAGATCCTTTCCTCAATTCCCAGTAGAGGAAAGGTGTTGCAGTAACAGAAAATGTGATGGATTCCCTGTTTTCAGTATCAGCCTCCTTGGGAGGCACTTCATCAAGTAGGCACTTCTCTCAGTTGTTTTCAAACCCTCTGTTCCTAAACACTGATGCCATTAATTATGGTTTAAAATGATAAACAAGGGGGTCATCTTCAGCTCAGTTCCAGAAAAGAGCAGCAAACTTCTTCCTTTATTTCTTCAGCCTCAGGGTAGGCAAAGTTCAGCAGGAAATAAAAGCTTGGTAAACTTTATGTTCTGCAGTTTTTAATCCAAGAGCAAAATGTGAAAAGGAAATCAATAATTCAGATAGAAAGCTACTTGCTATAAATAATGAACTTAAGTAAATCTGTTCTCTAATTAACTACGATATTTCACTAATGGCAGGGAGATTACAAAGGTGGAAGGACTTAAATAATGACAACAGGAATTCATCATAAAATGGAGAACTTGCAATCATTTAGATTTGCTTTACTTTTGCAACTCACAATTTCCTGATTGGAAAGGCCCCATTTCATTGTCTTTTCCTGGTGTTATTGTCTGTATAACACTCACCCTGAGCAACAAGGACTTAATAAACTCTGCACGTTCCTCTGCACTGGAATCACTGATACTGCTCTCACCTCAGTGGTCAAATGTGTATGATTTTTTAAAGGAAATTAGGGGAGTTATCATAATTCCTCTGGTTTTTGGACTAATCATTTTCCCAGGCAGTTGCCAATACATAACACTTCAAAGGAAATGATGGGGCACAAAAGCAAACTGCAACGTGCACTCGCTAACATAATACAGCACAGCTCATAATAGGTGAAAATTCTTCCATAGTACTGTCAGGAAATCAATATCTGTCCAGAAAGCATGAAATATTGAAGCTTTGATCTTTACATGAAGAGCTCCTTTGGCAAAGTGGTTACAATGATCTAGCTGTAATTGGTGAAGAATATGCAAGAGGATGTGCCTGCAAAGTGATGTGTTTGGGGCATTCCAGCTAAGCCCAGAGGAGGAATTTTTGCCTCTATGAAATAAATTGACTTCTTTGAAATCTGTATTGATGTTCTGGTAATGGATAATTTTCAGTCACAGGTAATTCTTAGCTAATGGTGCCTTTGTAGTGCTGCAAATATTGATGTAAGTCCCAAGAACCACAGGAAAAACCCGATAATTGTAATCTTTTTCTCTAGGTTGGTCTTTTGAACAGACCAAAAATACTTGCTCTGTTGACAGACTTCTACAAAAGAAGCCCAGTGAGTGCTCAGGGGGGATTCTGTAACCCAAGACAGTGTAAGTACGTGGGATCTTCCAACTTTGGTTAAAACATGAGGAGGTCACATGAGATTGCAGAGTTAATATATGTTTCATAAGTGTTACCAGAAGTGAACAGAGCCTATAAAAGGACCCAAATAACTGCTGTGACCTATACACCATAATTTACAAACATGTTTTGCAAACTGTGATGCAAATGCGTGTTCAGAAATACTTCAGCATCCAGAACTTTTCCTTCTTACCAAATTCTGGAGTACTTTTTAGAAGTAGGAGTAAAGAAAGAGTTCTTTTCCTGCAACAGTTCTTCTTTCTTCCTGGGCAGTGAATTTTGTGCTCACTCAAAAATTGCTCCAGGAACATGGAAAGATAACCACAGAGAATAATCTACATGAAAATAGAATGGTTTTAAGCTATTGGACATTAATTAACTGCTAAGATCAAGTACAAGGCAAATTACAGCTTTCCTTCTTAGCATGGAGAATTAGGAAATACTTCTTTCAAAAGCAATATGGTGTAATACACAGTTACAAGTGCATGTCTCTGTAAGCAAAGACATTCTGAAGCTCTGTGTTCCTGAGATGCATGTTTCCAGAAGGTACTTTCTGATAGTTTCTTTTCCTTTGGGAATACCTTTTCCTTCAATTTTCCTTATGCAGTACTAGAGAACATAAACCCACTGTGAACTATCAGCTTACCAATGTATTTTCTATTCTAGGGCCAATAATAGAGCTGCAAGAGATTAAGCCTGCACATTTATGGGGAGGCTTTGATGACCAGGAGGTTTGTGAGGAACTCAGTGAAAAGTTAGTCTTGTCTCAAACTGAGAGAGAGATTTTAGCTGGACCTGTAGCTGACGATAGACAAGGCAGCAATGTAGTGGAAACTAGTGTCACAGAAGGTCTTTCTGAACAAAAGGGCATGAGTGAAGCTGAGACTGGAGGAATTCCTAAGGGAGAAAACCAAGCAGCAGAATCAAATGATGCTGAAGTGAGAGAGGAAGGTGAGGATGCTGTGTCAGAGCTGGAAAGCATTGGTTTGGAAGTTAGAGACTTGGATGGAGATACCGTAGTTAGTGGGAAATCCAGTTTCCATGAAGACATACAAACTGAGGAGCAAACTGAGTCTGTAAGTGCATTCAGTCAGGAGGAAGTTCTCCCTGAATCAGCTTCCACTGAATACAGTCTCAGTAGAGATGGAGAACCTGGATCTGAAAATCAGGTGGAGGAAGAGGAATTTAGCCTGGAAAGACAGCCTGATACAGAAAAAAATGGGGAAGTAGATTATCCTGTCTCAGACAGAGAGCCTGGCTCAGAAGGGCAAGTCGGTCAGGAAGAGGAGAACTGGACTGCAGAGACAACCAACACAACTTCAGAGCCAACACCTGAAGCTACAGCCATGACCTCAGAAGACAGAGCTCTGGCAGACACAGATGTCATTGATTCAAAAGAGGATGCTCCAGTTGCAGAGGTTGTGAAAGAAACCCCTGCAAGAAAAGAGAGTGTTTCTGAGCAGCATGGCAGCCAGATTGGCCAACAGGCAAGGCTGCAGGATGGGAACCTTCTCCAAGACCAGGGTGAAGGTAAAGCATTCTCTTTTATTCTGGCAGACCTTGATCTTTGTCAATGTACACATTGACTGGTTTAACTATAGGTGTGTTTTTAATCCTTTTCAAAACTATCCTAGTGGCAGGTGAGTCACTGCTGGTGATCTGTATTCAAGGCACTGAGCAGCCACTGTAATTCAAGTATGGACTTTCTGAAGCAGAACCATTTTTATAATAAGGAGAAACTTCATGTTCTGTTTCACTCTGTAATATAAGAATGTATGTAATATAAGTACAGTAAGACAGGAGCCTGAGCATGTTAAACCTAGAAGATTTCTCTTTAAAATTGCAGGTCCAGCACCCACAGACAGACAGGATTCTCTAGCTGAAGATAGCCAGGAGGTTAAAGTGCCATGGTCAGGTAACTGATCATGTCAGCCCTTTTCATCCATTTTAGAAGCTATAGCTTGGATATGTGTATGTAAAGGCTTTTAGAAAAGCTGTATCTTGTGTCTTTTCTAAAAGCTTGTGTATATTTTATCTTTCATCAGGTGACTTTCTGACTCGTGACCTAAGTTCCAGGTTTAGCAGCTGTGGAGAGAGAATTCCAGAGGACTGGAAGTGTGAGGACACTAGATTTGCAGGTATTTGGTCACAAAGCTGTGTGTTCACTTGGGCACATAGTGGCTGGCAGTGTTGGCCAGTACTGCTGTGAGCTCAAAGTTTGGCAAGAATACAAGCACTAAAGCTGACTTCAAGATAAGAGCAGTGTAGGCTTTGCCTCAGAGAACCACTTGCAGCGTAACAGTAATTTCAGCTTAGCTGTATTCAGGATTTGACCTTGTTGTATGATAGCATCCATAGACTAAAGAGATGCTATTAGGAAAATATAAGCAGATTAAGGCCTTTAGTCAGTGTGGAGTCAGTCTGTACTCAGCTATAATTTCACCGGATAGGAAATGCAGGATTTAGGACTGAGTTGCTATCTGCCACGTGGCCAGTGTTAAGGCAACATTTGGCTGCCTGTGACACACTGTGCTTTCTGCCTTTCAGACTTACATCCCATCATGGCAGAGATTCAGAACCATTGGGCTTCTCGTACTAGGAGTGCCTTTGATGAAAGCAGCCTCAACCTGCCACAGTTTGTACAGCTCATGGAGACATTTGTTGGTGAAGAGGTTTCTCTGCCTGCTGTGAAGAGGCTTATTGCCTTCATCAAAAGAGAATACAAACAGACAGAAGAAGAAAAAAGGAAACAACTAGAAAAAGTAAATATATGTTTTGCTGAGCCCATGTCCAAACAAAAATCAAGCAAATGCCTACAGACACTTAGAAAGTCAACTTTTAATCTCATGCTGGCAGAGCTATTCACTTGCAGCCTTGCATTCTCTATTTCAAGAGACCTTTTACACCTTTGTTTTCATATGGATCCTCCCTCCCTAGCCCATAGCTCTAGGAGTGGTGACAGACTCATCCTGTAAGAGGTTGTCTGTCTGTTCTAGAGCCTCAGTGACACAGCAGGTTGATAGTTAATTTTGAAAGAGCTCAAAACATTCCATTCTGCTTATTCACCTTCATAATAGCCAAGAACCTGATCTCTGACCTACTGCACTGGCATGTGCATATGAGGTTGTGGGTGTTTCGGTGAAGATCATAAAACAAGTGTGTTTGGTTTTGCTATGTGCATGGCTGTATGTGAATGTGCACATGCTTCTTTGTGTTTAAGTTTCAGGGTGCTCTTGCCATGTGTTGAAAAATATGTTCCCTTTCAGCAATATCCTCATGCACAGCGTCTGGGTGCCCCATATCACTTCAGAGTATAGATATACTTCATGGTGGGTCTGTCCATAGTAGTCTCTCTAGCTCAGAGAGGCTCAGACCTCAGACCTGTTTCTAGTTTTCCTCTGTGCTGCTGACCTAATTTGGATGAGATATTGGATCTGACGGCTCTACTGTCCTCACGCTGAGCACAACACACACTGCCAGTATTTTGGCCTTTGAGAGAATTCCATCCCAGCCATTTATCACTGTATGCTGTGCAAAGATAGTTTAAAGGGCAAATTGTACATTCGTTTGGAGCCCACACACTTCAGGGCAGCACCAGCAAAATAACAATGTACAGATACACAAACTGTCACATCTTTGGGTGTTAGTAACAAGGCTATGGTTAGTTCTTCCTGGGAAGACATTTGTATTCTGGGAAACCTGCACTTACCTGAGTTGATCTCACTTTAGATCCAGCACAGGCTTCATTTGTTCACTGTGAAATAACCCTCTGCGGTGCTGATTCTGCCTGCTAGAACTGAACTGTTGTCTGTGTTTTGTGTTCCTAGGCATCTCTCAGGTTAAAGGTTCATCTCCAGGTCTGAGCTGTGTATGTACAGATAGGAATGATGTGATTGTCATACCGCTGCAGTTTCCATTCTTGGGTAGACACTGAACATCAGTGTCCAGGAGTCACTACAGATCAAGCTGCTCCTCTCTCTTGTAGGTTCACCACAGCTCTCGCCTGGCCCAGCGGAACCTGCTTTTGGAGGCACTGTTTGAAAAGTGGGACAACACTGCATCTGGGTTTCTGGACCTGGAGGAGGTGGAGGCTGTTCTGAGCACCTTCAAGGAAGGGACGGAAAAAGAGACCTTGAGGAAGGGTAAGGAGATAGCTGTGCTCTGAGAAAACACTGTTAACACAGTAGGCTTAAACCATTCAACAACAGTGCTAATGAAGTTGTTGGCAAGCACCAGTCACTTTTTGTTTTTGCAAGAAATTATAAGCATACACGGTATGATGTGTAAAATAAAATGGAACAGTTATCCAGAGCGACTTGTTAATGCATAGCTCCATCCCCTCCTCCTGGGCAAGACTCCTCTGCAACAGATTCCCACTCAGAGAGGCAGCCCAGTGCTTCCCTGACATTGTGATGTGTTGAAAAATCATTTCAGCCTTAACATGCAATGTACACTTGTGTTGTGGCAGTGAAAAACACAGGTAAAACCTGAGACATGTTTGCACTTCTCATCTAGCTCGTCTGAGCTATCCAGCTATTTTTATAGATAGATTTTACTGTGCTATCTGCAGCAATGTATCTCATAGGAAAGAACAACAGCTTTCCTTATGGGTCTCAAATAGCCTTTAGTAATCCACACTTGCACAGTGCTCATGAATTAGATAGCAGCTTTGAGTCTCACTTCTCTGTTGGTTCCTTTCTCTGACTAAACTTAGCAAATTTGGTCATTGACAGAATAGAGCTGGGTCAGACAGAAGTGCTGCAGGTTCACCTGGACCTGTCTGGCAGCCTCATACATATTAACATGTGGGCATTAGATGCTCTGAAATACTGTATTAGCAATTAGAAACAGGTCTGCATGCGTGCTTGGATGGAGAGGACTGGTTTATTCATCTCCATGCTCATCTTCTTGTTGGTATAAACGGCTCATTTTAGCAACCACCAAACCCTCTTTGTCCTTTAGCTCACTTGAGGCAGCTGGTGGGGTGGGGAGCACACCAGTGTGCTCCAGTTCGTAGTCTCCAGGCTGCACAGCCACAGAAGAAACTGCAGGTCACAGCTTTCTTGTATTTAAAGCATGCCAGAATGTACTGAAATATGGAAGGACATAGTCCCTTCCATGAAGGGCTCATAAACTAAAGGACAAATAAATAGCAAGATAGCATAGCAAAATCAATACTACCTACAAGCAACATAAAATACTCCCAGCAGCTTCAACGTAATCTTCCAAAGCCACTGTGGAACAAGCAGGTTTGGGGGAAGGGGCCACAGACATTGAACACCTCTTGGATGAAAACACAGAGTGACAAGTGGGTGGAATGATTTGATTTTCCTTGTAAGTGAAAAGTGAACATTGCAGATAGGATGTAGAGAATAATTCATTATGCTATGGCTCAGTAATAAAAGAACCGATCATGCCACGTTCAACTTCATGCGCATTTCTTTCTTCATCTCTTTCTTCAAAGAGAGGAGAAAGTGGAGGTGAAAATCCGTGTTTATGCCATCAAACAGTTCTCCATCCTAGTTCTGTCAGAAAGCCAGAAATTAAATGAAAAACTCTGAATGTTCTATAGCTGATGGGCAGGATAAGGCAGCATTAACAGTCAGCTCCACCGTGACTGGGGCTGGTTAGCACTTGCTAATTCTACAGCTAAAGTCAGTGATCAAATACCTCCTGAATTCTAGGGGGGGAAGGAGGAGGCTCTCAGCTACCATAAATATCTGTGTCTTAATGCACTGCGAGGCAACCAGGGCAGCTCCCTGCCTATTCCTGTGCATCATGAATCAAAGCATTTTCTATTACACTGTTCCTTATAGCCCACTGTATTGATCACAAAATACTCTCGTGCTTAACAGCAAAGTCACACTTTGACATATATATCTTTGCTTGCCTAGTTTGCTAGTTGGAAGCAGCTTGACAAATCGCTCTCCTTCCTTTTCTTCTTCGAGTCCAACAGGATTTGAAATCAGGATGCAGAAAAAATGATGAAGATTTTAGTCACTGCAGTGCTCAGGAGAGGCATTGCCAGGAGCAGGAACAGGCAAGCCCAGCCTGGGCAGAGCCGCCGGTGAATCCCAGTTTTCCAAAGCCGGGAATCCGCCTGCAACTCCCAATGCCTGTGCAAGAGCACCCCCGTGAGCCCAGAGCTGGGGTGTGGGGAGCAGCAGCACTGGCCTGAAAGGATGGGTACAGGGTGCAACAGCTCTCTTAGCCTGGCTGCTGATTTAAGTAACATCTGCAGAGAAGCCACAGGGTAAATGTACATTTTCAGGCTCAGTCTGCTGGGATTACAAGTCTGAGAAGGGTCTTGTTTATCTTCAGGATCTCTGGGCAAACTGGAACTTTGTGAACTAGAATGAGTAGACTTGGGAAAGTGATTCTTGAGAATCATGATTTGACCCTTGTGGCACTCCTCATTCCCCCTTCTCCAAGCAAAGGGAAGCCAGACCTTTCTTACCATGGCACCTTTCCTATTTTCCATTGACCTTTACTGTTTAGGTATGTTCCAGGGGTACAAAAGGAGCACAAGAGCAATGCTGCTTAGGTTTCTTTCACAGCAGGTGAGGGATCTAGACGAAAAGATGTATTCAGTCTGGAAGCTGGAGTTTACCTGTCATGATGAGAGCTTCCATTTAGGAGATAGCTGGAAGGTAGAAGAATGACAGACTGGAGCACTCCACCCAAAGCCAGTTGAGGGCTTGATTCATATTTTACACAGGAAAAGCAAAACTTATTCAAATAGATTGTCCTTGTCTTACTTTCTGTTTCTTCTACTAGCAAAGAAACACCTTTGCTCCCGTTACCCACAGCTCAGCAGAGTGGGGAAGCTATCCCCAAAGGCATTCCAGACTTTCCTTGAGTTACTTGCTTCCGAGCTCAGTGGCAATGAGGATGAAGCTATTGATAACTTGGTGGAATTTCTGAACACAAGTGTGGAACAAAGTCACACGGAGTTCTTGCAAAGCTCAGCCAGGAGGAAGTGGCTGCACAATATCCAGCAGGCAGCAGAGACCAGCGGAGGAAGCATAGAGCCGGTTTACAAAGCAGTGTTTAAGGCTCTCTCCCAGGTAGGCATCCCAGGAAGCACAGGAGTTGTTTGTATTAGGATTGTGACACTGACTTCAGACTCTGGTGCACATGAGTGCAAGATGGGAAGCTGCTCTGAGTCTTGGCTTCCTTGTGCATTTCTGCACTTAGCTTCTGTTCAGGAGAGCCCATGGCTGTGCACAGAGAATCACAGGTCAGATCTGCAATACTTCTTGTCCATGGTTTGATCCTAAGCACAGATTATAAAGGGATTATTTTTACATGAACTTTTCTCCATTAGCAGCAGGAATAAAGAAATCCATTTCCACTGCCAGTGAAAGCATCAAGTTGTTTTGCTTGTAACAGTGTGTCCTGGTCAGACACCGTCATAGCACAGACACATTCATGTCGTGCAATTGGTGCCTGAAATACAAAATCAGTGACCCAGAACAGCACCTCAGAAAAAATGAGACAAGTGCTAAGTCCATGAAATAAGTGTAATGGCCAGTGGCTAATGTACATAATGTAATGGGAAACGTTTGGTTGCTAGGATGCAGAAGCCCATGGGGATAACAAGAAGATCAGTGCGTATATTGCCCTTTTGGAAGAGAACCAGCTCACACCAGAGGAGGACCAGATTCTCCTACACTATGTGGCGTGTACCGCTGATGATGCTCCATATGTTCTAAACCAAACTCTTCAGAGAGACATGAAAGGAGTAAGGCAAGAAAAGCTGCAAATACTATTCCTTTTGTCAAAAATACTTGGAATGGGGTGTACCAGTCAGAATTTGGGGTGCACTGGGAATAGAGAGGAAATCCCCCCAGGGACTGTTGTGTAATGATTTGTTATCATATACATGCCTTATACTCTGCATGGTCTACTTAGAAGTGCTCTGTTTGGGATTTCACTCCTTTCCTTGGGGAGATTAGCTCACAGTCTAATAATCTCATCCTTCAGCAAATGACTCTTGCATTGGGCCTACATTTTCTTCTTTAAATATTAATTCCCTTACAGCAGTTTACATCCACAGGATATTCTCTGAGAACAATGCCTTTCCTTCCCAGTGTTTACACCATAAACAGCTTTCATGCCTCTTCACTTCTCATTTCCAAAAGCCAGACATATTTGGCTGCTTCTTTAAACCTATTAAATGTTCTTCTAATCTATTAAATGTAACTGCTGCTTGCTTCTGTATTTCTTTTTATTACATTCATTAGCTGATGTTTTTTAAACATCCTAAGGATGAAAAGTGCCTTATTTCTTACTACTGTCTTTGGGATGCAAGTGGTGAATGTGGTATTTCTGGGTGTGCTCAGAGTAAGGAGCTAACACCTTCCTTCTCTGATGCCAAAAAGCAGGGAGAGATCAAAGCTGTAATATTTATTATTTCACTAAAGGTTTTCTGCTACTTTTAAACATAAAAGTTTCTTTTTCAGCTTTGCAGCTGTTGAAGAAGGAAAGCCAATCCATGTTCCAAGAGTTCAGCTGCATGCAAATATCCACTTCTGGAACCATGACCGCCCAGTGGAGGAGAGAAAAGGTTCTTTCCTGGTACTGCCATTGCACGACGCTCACTGGAGAGTCTTTGGCATTCTAGGACTTGACACGCTTCGGGACCAGTGTGAGACAGCCATCTTTCTGACCCATGAGATCAGTTTCTATCAGGTGGGCATCATCAGAAAGGGGTTTGTTAGAGACCTGCCTGCAGAAAACTGTAGGGATCACAAGAATTTCACGTGTTTGTTCTGAGTAAATGTAACTTGTACAGCTAAGAACTGTGGGTCCCTTTCTGTTGTGCACGGTGAAAGTGGTGTGAGCAGAACACCTTATCAATATTTTACTTGTGAGAGTCTTATCTGTGATTATGAGGTGTCACTTCATTAATAACTAATTTAAGCTTCTCCTGACTAGTAAATAATTGCACAATTGTGCAAAGCCCAAAGGTAGCAGCTTTTCTTTCCTGAAGCTCTGAGCTTCCCATTTCTGTTTGTTGCCATAAAGTGGCATGAAACCTTACTTTTTACATGGTGGAATAATTACCAGCAACAGTGGTCTGGGTCTCCTTGGGATGCTCTTTAGGATCAGGCGCACTGCGATGCATGATCTGGGCAGCAGGGAGCGCAGCAAGCCAAGGTTACCAGCCGATGTGGCCGTGTCCACCAAGAACAGCTTTGTCTCGTTTAGGACGTGGCTGTGACCTGGACACTCTGGAGCTTTAGATCATTATTCGATAAGGGACATTGCGCAGTCACTTCTCAGCTTTACAAGTTCTGATTAAAGTAACTCGTTAAAACCATTTACATGAACATTTTGTCAGCTTTTTCACCCAAATCCGATGGAACTGTCTCGCTCACTTGGAGGTTTCTGCTTTCACAGGGAGTTTCTTATGCATTCAGCAAAGCCTACCACCACATCTGCACACTGGAAAATGTTCTACAAATGACTGGTACTGCTCTGGACTGGCTGTATACCAGGGCACCCAGCATCCACACTGTTACTATGTACCTGGTGGAGCCCAGCAAAGACAAGGTAGGCAGATCACTGCAGTGAAAAGCTTGTAATAGTCAAGGGCTGAAAGGCAGCTTTAGTGAGGACATGCCATTTCTAGCTGATTTCCCAGTGGTTTATCTTTAATTTATCTTGATTTTCCCAGTGACTTTAAGTTGAAGCCTGCCTGAGATTCTTGTGCCTGCCTGTGCAACAAAGGGCTAAAAGCTAGAGAGGGAAGTTTCTCCCTGTAGAGGAGGCCACTCTTCATTCTTTTCATTCTCCCATGTAAAACAGTTCAAGAGCACTGCTACTATAACCCCTTCTCCATGGGGAAAAAAAAAAGAGTATTCTCCTACTTCAATGCTCACAGCTGCATAGGAACCAATAGAACAAAACCCCACATCCATGCACCCATCCATCTGTCTGTAGCTTTGCTGTCTGGGGCCTCCACAGAGGAGATTCTGTGCACGTTAAAATTATGGTATTTTATAAGAAAAATAAAATGTCCTGGCTAATGTATTAGTTCTTTGTTCTGAACTAATGACTAATGTCAGCAGGCAAGATGTGAATACATCTCAGGAAGTGGCTGCTTCCTAATTATCTAGCTTGAAGAGGCAGCCCCCTTCCCTGCAGATCATCTTCCAGTTGTTGAGCAGGCTCTCGGGCCCTGGGAAGCTTGTCATTTCATGTACAAGTGAGTTAAGAAGATGAAAAGTGTATGCAATATTTAGGACTGATCCTGTGTCATCACAAAGTCTGTATGACATCTGCTGTAGCCATAATTCAGCTGCTTCCTCTGATAAGCATGGTTTATGTTGGCAGCTTTCTGTTGTCTTTCCAGGCTCTGCACTGTTCCCTTGTTAGCTGCCTGATAGCCAGGTCACTTGCTGCCCTCTGTGCTTTTCACGTGTCAAGGCACACTGACACAAACATGAGAAAGAGGACTGCAAGAGGATTGCAAAAAGAAGAAAAACCTCTTCTTGGCCTGTGGGTGTTCCTCAGTGTGGAGCCTGGGGGTGGATTAAATAGTCTGGTGAAGTGAGGTCCAGGGCACATTCACATGCAGCTTGAGCAATACACTCTGGGAATAAAACCAAGCGTTGTTGGGAGATGTCTTTAAACCATCCCATTGCACTTTAATGTACATAGGAGCTTAAGAAACAATTTCCTCCCTCTCCAAGCTTCAACATTGGCTGTTTCTTTCTTGGATGCAGCTAAACCTCCCTTTCCTCTCTGGCAGGCACAGAACTACACTTTGCGCAAGATGATTTCTATAGATAACACAGGACAAAAGGAAATTCATAGCTCTCCTGTTCTCCTCAGAAAAGAAAATCTCGTAAGGTAGGCTCAGCACCTGCAATAAAACCTGTCACCTCTGGTTCTAGACTCCAGCCTGCACCAGACATGATCCACAGTACACAGAGCCCATGGTAGTGCAACCCTGCAAGAGTGTCTGGCTGCAGCTCTCCCACTATCAATGCTTCTGGTGTGGATCCATGTGACACTGAATTAGGAAGGGTGAGGAGTATTTTCTCTTTGAGTTTAGGCCTGCAAAAACAGAACTTCCAACTTAATGCTTTCCAGCTGAATTGCCAAGCAAGCCCTACCTCTTCTGTGAAAGGTTTGCAGGGTTAGAGTCTACACTGAGCCATTTTACTCTTTAGAATAATCTGTCTTTTTTTCCTGGCCATATTAGTCTCATTTCCTTCAGCTGTTTCCTTCCACTGCGAACATCCTCACAGGCTTGTCTTTTAAGCCTATCATCCTTGCTGTCAAAGTTGAGTGAACAGCCAATGCTGTTCCAGCAGATGTTTTCCTTTTCATAAAGCTCTATAGAACAAATGTCAATGCACTTAGGAAACTTTTTAAAGCAAGGTTTGTTAAATTCTTATGATTTTCAGCAATTGCTTTGGCTGAGCAATACTGTGTTCCACAATGCTACTTCCTCCTTTTTGTGCATGGCTTGAGTGATACTTAAACCTTTGCATTTCATTTCAGGGAAATAAACAATGATTTAATAATGTAATACCTTTGTTTTAACTAGAGATGACCTTCATCTTACTGAAATATGCTTAATATATTACCAAAAGTAACTGGAATGGTTTTCAACTCTCATTTCAGAGATTACCTGTATAAGTGCATAGACAGTTCAGGAGTCATTCACACTTCTGTCTACAGAGAATACCACATTGCAGTACCTCTCCGTGATCTATCGGGACAGGCTCTTGGCCTGTTTGACATCAACATTGGACACAACCAGAAATTACCACATCATGAACACAAAGACCTGCAGAAAATGCTAAAGATATCACAAGCTGCCTTCTCTGAGATACTGAAGACGGCTTTAGAGGAAACAGAACCAACCTATGTACTGGGTATTGTGCATACAGAGCCACGATGGGGTTTTTAGGGATGAAATAGGAATCTCAGGAAAGCCCCAACTAAAGAATCATTCCTACAAGTTTGGGATGACAAATACAAACCTTTGGTAACTCAGCTACTCCTGAGCAATCCTAAGTGCTTAGCAGAGTACAGTTAAACACAGTGTTTAGGTTTTGACGCTGGTTCAGAGGGTATTTTGTGCCCAAGTCCCACTGAAATCAAAGGTATGAAGCTTTGTTGCCTTCGGGGATCTAGCATATCGTCCTCAGAACCGCCCCAACTAAGATCAGAAGAATCTGAATGTCACAGAGTTACCTGCATGCCTGAACCCTGCGTGGTCTCAGGACCTCTGCTTGCCCCTGAGGCAAGTTTTGTCTCCTTCTCCAGCACACACCATTTTTAAAAGTTTCATAGGATGCTTGGGCTGTGTACAGATCAATCAGCCAAGGAGACAAAGAGTTACTCATAAACGGGGCAGAGCTCGCAATCGATGACATAAGTCTTGAGTAGCAGATGTTTCTGAGCAACTTCTTCAAAGGTTTTTGCTTTTGATTCCAGAGCCAGAACACGAAGCAAATTTGAGGCATGCAGGGATTCTGTTCCACTGGTGCATGCTGCAGGACCTGCGCAAGTGTGTCTGGAAACTCAGTGCGGAGAGCTTTGGTGACATAAAGAGCTATGTAGAACCACCAGCTCTGGTCCATAGCATAGTTAAGGCTGTGCTCTTGCTTTTCCATCCAGACTGGAAGGGCTCAGAGGAGACTGAGAACTGGAGTCAGTGTAAACTGGTGAGACTTCAAAATGTTGAGTCTTTGATTTCTCTTCTTTCCCCCACCAAGAAGATGCAGTGGAATTACCTACAGATTTCCTATATGTTTGTCTTAGCCATCTTTAGTTCTGTAGCCCTCTCTTAAGTTTTCACTGACACCCGACTCTTTTTGTTCTCTGCATTGCAGAAACTTGATGACAGTTTGATTCAGGAGATTTATTGCTTTGATCCGACTGCTGCATCTGTGCAAATTCAAGCAGAGCTGCTGCTGGACTGCATCGCTGGTAAATATCATAAACTAATTGTGAGATTACCAGACCTGGCTCAGCAATGAAACAGTGTCAGTGGCAGCTTTCAGCTGAGTGCTTTTAAGGTCCTTATTTCAGAAATTAACTCTGATTTCACAACAGATGAAGCAACAGATAAAGGGTCCTAAATATCTGCAGTCTTTTTCGGTCAATAAAAGTCAACCTGTTAAATTTAGAATCAAAATTCACTGTCTTAAGGAAAGGAGAACAGCTCAGTTTTGAAACGTACCAGAACAAGTGATCTCATTGTAAATCTCCAGATAAACATATGAAGAATGATGATGCTTTTGGCACGTAATATATAAAGATATACTAAGAATGATGGCTCTTTTGGCAAGTAAATCTACTTCAGGCCTCCATGTCCTGCCCTAGGGACTGACCTAGCTCCAAACAGCAATGTGAGTGTGGGAGGACAGTGTGAGCCCTCCTCTTCATAAACACCATCTGCCAGGTACTTAAAATACTCACTGGCCATATACAGGAGCTTATTTTCAGCCTGTCTTTCTCTCCTTTAATGAATATGAGCTTTTTTTGGTGCCAAAGTAGTCAAGAGGCTATTATTATTTGCAATATCTCTGCAAGAGAGATGACTCTTGTTCGCACTGAGATCTCTCCTTTAATGATCTAATGCCTGTCTGAGAGGCCTGTTAAAAATCACATGTGGTCAAGATGTGTTAATTTAGCTGGGGATATGTATCGAGAGTACCCTGCCCACTGGTGAACACAAAAAGCAGTCAGAGCTCTTTTTCATGTGTTCTCCTCATAAATATTAAACTAATTTACTGGAAAGAACAAAGCAGGCCTAGAACTGTAACTAGAAAGATTATAGCTTTGACAAACTGCTGGTATGCTACAAAGGGTTGGTTTCCTAGGGTGGAACTTACTCTGCATAGTGTCAGATCAGTGGTGTGAATAGAGCTATAACTTGAAATTATAAGAATTGTTTTAAAATTAACACCAGATAATGCCCATATGTTCTGTATACATGTGCTGTAATAGAGAAGACAGCACATAAGGAGCTATACTCTATCGACAGAGCAACCTTTAATGGTATGATTCTGCAGTGACCTTTAATAGCATTTAGTAAAAGAGCTTTGAAGTTCATTACTCTTAAATCAAATCTGAGCTTGGACAAAACCTCATTTTTCTCATTTCATGTTTAATTATCAAATGTTTTGCATTAAATATAGCAGAGCACTTTGTGCAAGATGCATTCTAATAAATAGACAGTGACCACAGTAATGCTGTGTGTGCTTTTCAAAGCACCACCATTTTCCAGCCTGGAATTTACTGGGCTTGGGGAGAGCAACAGTGATGGGGTGATCTCTACTCAGTCGTGTGGTGACAGTGCTCATGGTTTTGATTTCCTGCTCTTCTTTGTTTCAGGTGTATCTCGAGCAGCAGTGTGGGAGCAAGGCTCAGCTCCCATAGAGTACCTGTATCACTGGGTACACACCTGCCTGGTGCTGGCAGGGAGCCCAAGGAGTTTATACAGCAAAAAGAAAACATTTTTAGCCCCTTCTGGCATCGAGTTCCAATGCACCACCAAGTAAACCTCTTTAATTCCTCACCTCACCTTAGTCATTCTGGTATTTGACATCCTTTATTAAACTAAATGTTAAGGTTCTTACATTGTTTGTTACCCATAGCCACCAAGTCTTTGTTGTTAAGATGGTGGGAAGTCTGTTAGTTATTAGAAAAAGCTATAAACACGTTGAAGGAAACAGTTTTGCTAGTATAGCTACTTACTTTAAAACCTAGATTAAAGAGTTTTTGTTGAATTTGCGTTTGTTTGGTTGAATTAATCCTGACGGGAAAAGGGGAGAGGTATTGTGAATACCAAGCTGCAATGCTAAGAGATGATACAGCAAAAGTCAACATTCAGTCTCCTTAAATTGCTTTTTAGGAACAATTTTAAGTAGAGGTTGTTAATCAGCATTTTGTGAAGTTATTCTGAACGCGCTACACTTTCAATGCAGCAAAAAAAAAAAAAGCTTTCTCATTGGGATAAAGCCGGACATTACACCAACTGCGCTGTCAGCAGCAAGATTTCATCTTTCCAATATCGCTTGTTTTGGCCGAATCACTTCTTTTTTAATCAAATTTGGGAAATTAAACTGCTCTTTTTTAATGCACCCGGCAACAAGCGACGTGTGCCGGCAGGTGATGCCTGACGGGGGCACGCTCGCTCTTCTTCCCGCTGGGTTCGGCTGCGCTCGGTTCGGGTCCTTTCGTTTCGGTCCGGCTCGGCTCGTTTCGGCTCGGCTCGTTTCAGCTCGGCTGGGTTCGGCCGACCTCGGCTACTTTCGGCTCGTTTCGGCCCATCTCGGCTCCCCTCAGGGCGGCGCGGGCCACCCCCACCAGTCCTTCCCGTACCGGCACTTTCGCCACCAGGCAACGAGCCGTTAAAAAACTCGCTCCCTCCGCCAGCCCCCTCCCGCCCGTTCTCCGCTCCCCTTCTGAAGCTGGAGCGGGACCAGGACCGGGAGCGGGACCGAGACTCGAGGCGGAGGGATCCTCCGGGGTGGGTTTTTGTCGCGAGGAATCTGCGGCCGCGGAACAACCGGCGGCTTTGCGCGGCGACGGCCGGGACAAGATGGCGGCGCTAAGCAAGCAGTGAGTGTCGGTGGCGCCGGGGCCTTCGGTGCGGAGGGTCCGACCGGGCTCTGCTCCGCGGGGCAGCGGATGGGAGGGAAGGTCCCCGGGGCCGCCGTGAGAGCGGGCGCAAGCAGGGTCCTGTCTCGGGCCTGGGAGAGCTTTTAACAGGCCCCCCGGCCCGGGCCGCAGCAGCGGGGCTCGTTGCGTTGGCCTGAGTTTAAACCTGTGTTTATTAAAAACAAACAAACCCCACATCGGTGGGGAGTGGCGGAGGTGCTGCCGTGTTTTCGGGGGGAGTTTTCACTCTTGGGAAGTAAAATCTCCTCAGGATACCTCCCCCTTCAGCCTGCCGCCGCCAGGCCCCCAGTAGTGGCGGTTGAGGGGCAGCGGCCCCCGGTTGCTCCTCGGCTCCCCGCAGCCGGTTAGAGTGAGCTGCTGGGGCGGATTCGGAGCACACGGAAGGAAACAATTTGTCACAGTGGTGATGTGATATCTGCGGCATCGTGCAGTTCCCCAGCTACACGTTATGATAAACAAGTTACCCAGTGACGGACTGGGGGAAAGCAGGTTGGGGGAAATCCCTCCCTTAGAGATTGCTCATTGCCAAAAACAGTGTCTCTGACAGAACGTCTCTCAGAGGTTGGCTCTGCCAGCAGAAGAGTTCTGTCTGTGTCATTAAGCTCTGCATGACATCATCTGGCAGTAAATCGTGTCTTTTCCCATAGTGGTGTATGTGGGTTGGTGCTTTACATTCTCATGCAAAATAGGTGAGCTTACTGCGCACAGAATGGTGTCTAATGTAGACTAAGACTGAACCTCTGCAGGTGAAACAGTAATTTCTTAATTCCAAAATCACTTGGAAAACTCTGAACATGAGGGATTTATGGCCTCATTTAGGAGTTCCATTGCATCCCAAATCTTTGCATGGAAAAAGTCAGCAATACCTATGGGAGAATCTGCAGGCACATGGCAAGGCTGAGCACACTGCTGATGATGCTGCTCCACACCTCATACATTACACTGATGCTGGTCTTTTGTTTCTAAAATTGGAAATGGTGGACTTTCGGTTTGGAATGTGCTGTATTTTTTTATCAGTAACGTGAAAGGGTGACTTTTATTCTTTTTCTCTAGATATGGGCTCATTATGCCCAAAAAAACGCCACAGAAAAATCTCGTTTCAAAGAAACTCTCAGTGTTTGCAGATGACTCTGATGATGAGGTGAGTTCAACAGTTTTATGAGGAATTTTTCCCCGTATTCTTCACATTAATTGTTTACAACCATTAATGACTGCATGAGCTTGTCCTGGTGTCACTGAGATCTGTGTTGCCATTTAGGTGTGAAATAGGATCTGTGTGTTCTTTAGTGTGAGTTAGGTGAAGCCATGGTTGGTAACCGTGGTAACCAAAGTTGGTTACTTTCTGCCAGCTCTTCCAAAAACTCATCACCTGTAGCAGCCTGTTTGTAAGAGTTAATAGTAGCTTGTAAAGAAACTTGTTGGCCATCACTGGGAAACCTGCTTGCAAATAAAGACCAGTAACAATCAACATTCCTTTCTTGAGTATTAACTTTAAAGTGCAGTAAAGCATATTTTATCCTTTAGCTCATTCAATGCAGATTTCATACAAGTGGTTTATGATGTTTAGACTCATGGGTGTGTATGAGTGTATCACATGAAGTTGATAGTGTTCTTTGCTATAGTCTCCTTCAATGGTTTTATATTTTTTAAGTATTACCTTCAAAATCTTTGCTTTCAACGTGCCCCAGTAGCAGTTGCTGTAAGCTTTAAAAGTTACACCCCTGGATATAGTGCTATGAATATGGGGAGCATCAAGAACTGGCATGGTACATAGACTGCTTGGGATACCTTACAGAAACCCAACTCCTAAACCAGACTTTCTGAAGGAATTAGAGCCAGTAGCTTCATAGTTTACAGGTAAAGAACAGGAACTCAAAATCATGGAGATGAACATGAATGGAGCTTTCTGGACATAATGTTGCAATATACTGGATTTTATTGATCTGGAATTACTTGTGATAATTTAATCGGAATGTCATTGTGTGTATATTTAGCTTTTTTTCCTACAAAACTCAGAGAATAAACTTCACCTATACCCATAGCCTAGAATTTTAACGTTTAAGAAGTTGTAATTTAGAATCAGTTGAAGTTTGGCAATGGAATCTGTTACAAAAATACTCTTGCTGCTGTAGAGCTTCACTCAATGCTTTTTAGTGTGGTTGAAAACCCAGTGCTAATAAAGCATCAGATAATCCTCGTCAGTTTCTGATTCATTATCAAAACATTTCTTTTAAATATGCTTTGAGTTTTTTGTTTTTTCTTATGAACTCTCAGTTGTTCTTCATATGTCACAGAAAGCCTGAATCTACCACTTCCCAGCCTCTGTGTACCTGGTTCACTTACAGAAATGAGAATGCTGCTGTTGAAGGTGTATGAGCTCTCTTTGTACAGGCATGAAAGGGGTGAGAGCCTTCCTAGTGGCACCTGCTCAACATGGAACTGACTCAGTGCAGCTTATAGGACCACAGGAGGCAGAGAGGGCAGGAACATGTCTTAAATCCCATCTCACGCTGCTGCTGTCCTTTGCACTCTGTGAAGGTGTGTCCTTCCTTGATCTCCTAGCTGGCTCCATGGTGCTGCAGAGAGGCTTTCCTTTCAGATGGAGATGGCAGTGTCCATGGAGATCCACTGTCCCCATGGCAAGAGCACTTTCCTGGTCAGTTTAGTCCCTGTCAGTTTGGGATTTGGTGTCTTTTTCTACATTAAGGGTCTAACCCCACATTTTCCATATCCCAAGAATGAGCATGATTTAATCCACTGCCAGCATTACACAGTAGGACTGGGAACCATCTTGAGTATAGAACACTTTTTAACTTCTCCATTTCCTCTTAATATCTAAACGTTAAAGTAAAATAATACATAGAGTTCTAATAATAATAGTGCATGATGCTGTCTACTTTTAGCTTAACAGATCAAGTATCCTCTCAGCAAGGCTGACAGATTCACTGAGAGTCTGTTACAAAGACTCTTAAAAGTTGTCATGCTCATCACTATGGTACATACCCAGCAAAAAGTAATAATCTCATAACTGCCTTTATCAGAGAAGATCATTTATATTTTTTTTAAAGCTAAATTACTTTATTAGTTCAGTAATCATTTCAGAGCTTTTCAAGATAAGGAGCAGCGTTTGGGAGGGGTTTCATTTCCTGTCTGCTGCCTTATCAGCCAGAACTACATCTCAAATGTCTGGAGATTATGTATTTTTAACTGAACTCTAATAAAGTTTGTGCTGGGAAATCTGCACACCTCACTTGGTCTGTGATCATACAGGAGATACCAAACTTTTGCTCTCTGTTTTTAAATGTTACTATGCATATTTCAGTAAGATTTTGCCTGTGCTCTTGCTGAAGGAATTTGAAAGGTGGGTTTTTTTCTGTGGCTAAGTACATTAATGGATGTTAGTTGCTGATGAAGATGATCTTTGGGTTAGTTCATAAGGAGCAGAACAGCTGGGTGGAAGTTTTCTCCAAGTACAGTGTTGACTGGGAAAAAGCAATCCAGGAGGTTACAGGTGCTTTTAGTCATTGGAGTTGTGAATTATTTGCCTTCATAATGAGGAGTTTTCGCTATCTTTAAAAACTGGGGGGAAGGTTTTTACCCCTGGGAAAGCCTGTTGTAGAGAGCAGGTGTTACAGCAGCAGTCTAGGATGCATTAAAAATAGGTTTCCTTTCTGGCTTAGTATTATTTGTGATACATCCATTTTCTCCAAAGATGCTATTCCTTTATTCATGCATTGTGTTTTCAGAGATGGCTTGTGAGTATTCCCAGTGCACTCTTGCATGTTCTGGTTTATCTTTGGAATTCAGCTGAAAATATCTCTGTGGTATAGTAGATAAAGGTTCTGGTTTTTGGTTGTATCAGAATCACCCAACATACATTCCTGCACCTCACCAGCCTTACAGAACTGGTTTGTTGCTCAGAATGTAAAGTGTAGCTGTAAAAATAACTGTATTTAGACCACAGTAGGTGGTATATTCAAGAGAGAGAGAGTGGAGTCAGTATGGATAGTTCTTTTTCAGACATAAATGAAGTCTTTAAGCAGGCACAAAGGAAGAAACTGAGGACAAGCAGAAGACTATATTCTGTTGTAGAGTCACTTTGCAA